CTCAGGACTTCCAGAAGAAACCAGTACAGCCACTCTCCTGGGAAGACAGCAGTGACAGCTTGTAAACCAAAATGTTTGCTGTGAGGCTAAGGCGTTCTACTGCAGCACAGATACGCATTCGAAAAGCATACAATATTCAAAAACAAAGTGCCAACCTAAAACAAGATTGCAGTCAAAATGACCACCTCAGACAAGTGTGAGCAATGTTTCAGTCTCTGTTATACGTCGGCAAATATGCCACACAGTGCAGACGCTCATACTACTGAAAAGGAAGTTACCTGACTGAGAAAGGTATAAATAGAAATCGGAGCCTTCTCCAAACGACCTGGTCAGCCCCAAGTGGGCTGTAAAAACCTCCTGGAGTTTTCATTCATTTAATGTCTGGTACAAGACACTGCGTCCAACCAGTTATGTTTGAATGTCAAACCTACCCCAATCCTTAAACCAACCTCACAGTTTCCTGCTGTGTTTTATCAACCTCCCAACCTACCCCAACTCTTAACCCAACCTCACAGTAACAAACCTCTATGTGGGTTTCATTGATTCAATGTCTCGTACATGGCACAGAATACAACCTATTGCAGTTTATTAAAATCACACCTACCCCAGCCCTAGGCCCAACCACACGGTAACCTGCTGTGTTTTATTCAATTTTACTCCTACCCCAACCCTAAACACAACCTCAGAGTAAGCAGTTTATATATTTTTTTTATTTTTATGAATGTCTACTACAGCTACATCAATCGCAAACCCAGCCTACGTGCGGTATAAGTGCCTACCACTTAGAGGTTATCCAGCCAACATGCAGTGTAATCTCCTCCACTTGTAGGTCTCTGAGCTGCAGCAACACCTAAGGGCTCTGACACACAGACACAAAAGAAACCATTGCTTTTAACCTACTCTTGGAGAGGAGAGAGTCTCCGACCCTGGATCTCAGGTCTTCTATGGAGGGACTGTCAGGAATCCTGTAAGAGCATCCCATCCACACAACCTCTTGCCATAAAAACAAAGCAGAATGTGTGGTGAAGGAACTCCGGGTTGACAGAGCCTTGTCCTTGCTTCAAGCAAAGTGCTAACAAGGTGCTGAACAGAGTGACGGTGGCACAAAGGTTAGCGCTTATGACTACGGATCAGAAGGTTCTCGGTTTACGGAAACCAAGAAACTGTGTATGAGAGAGTGCGTAAGTGTATGAGTGGCACTTGTGCAAGCGGAGCAGGGACGTGCCAGCGATCAGAATGAACTGGAGTTTGTGCCAAGACTGGGTTTCAAGAGTGGCAGATCACATATGGTCAGCGGTTAGGATTCCTGGTTTTCACCCAGGCGGCCCGGGTTCGACTCCCGGTATGGGAAGGCTTGAGTGCTTTTGCTTCTGTCCTTTTTGGCCAGCGGTCGGTCTGCAGCTACCTTATAGGATGTGGTTGTGGAACTGCCCCGTAAGCCTTCGATAGCTCAGTTGGTAGAGCGGAGGACTGTAGGTGGGATGATGGCAATCCTTAGGTCGCTGGTTCGACTCCGGCTCGAAGGACATCTTTTGCGCTCAGAGCCGCTTTCTTGCCTTCGCCAAGTGAGTTAACGAGTCCTCAAAGTTCAGCATGGAGGTGAAAAGGAAGTTCCCTGACCGGGAATCGAACCCGGGCCGCGGCGGTGAGAGTGCCGAATCCTAACCACTAGACCACCAGGGAAGGTGTGCGTAAAAGTTGGCCTCAAGTCTAGCTGTGGGCCTCCACCCAGGTGTGCTGCAGCTGCTCTGACAAAAATAACTAACGTTTGCAACCTCCTCCCGGAGAAGAGAAAGTCTCAGAGCCTGGGTCACAGTTCTTCTTGGGAGGGACTGTCACATGCTCGGTGTAAGAGCATCCTATCGACACCACAACTTGCCATGACAACAAAGCAAAGCATGCTTTTAAGGAACTCCATGTTCACCGAGCCGTGTCCTCTTTCCAAGGACCATGCTAATGAGCACAGCTGATGCGGACTGGGCCAGTGGCGCAATGGATAACGCGTCTGACTACGGATCAGAAGATTCTAGGTTCGACTCCTGGCTGGCTCGTTCAGGATTTTTTTGCGTTGCTCTCAGTGCAGTGCGGTCGCGGTTTTCCCCTGCCGGAGTTATTCGGTTCTACTCTGGAGTGAATCGAGTTTCTGGGGCCGCCAGCACAGAGCCTGTGGGGTGCTCTCCTGGGTTCAAAGGCTGCCCCAACCGCTCTCATGTCTTGGTCCCGTACATCCCTCAGGACTTCCAGAAGAAACCAGTACAGCCACTCTCCTGGGAAGACAGCAGTGACAGCTTGTAAACCAAAATGTTTGCTGTGAGGCTAAGGCGTTCTACTGCAGCACAGATAAGCATTCGAAAAGCATACAATATTCAAAAACAAAGTGCCAACCTAAAACAAGATTGCAGTCAAAATGACCACCTCAGACAAGTGTGAGCAATGTTTCAGTCTCTGTTATACGTCGGCAAATATGCCACACAGTGCAGACGCTCATACTACTGAAAAGGAAGTTACCTGACTGAGAAAGGTATAAATAGAAATCGGAGCCTGCTCCAAACGACCTGGTCAGCCCCAAGTGGGCTGTAAAAACCTCCTGGAGTTTTCATTCATTTAATGTCTGGTACAAGACACTGCGTCCAACCAGTTATGTTTGAATGTCAAACCTACCCCAATCCTTAAACCAACCTCACAGTTTCCTGCTGTGTTTTATCAACCTCCCAACCTACCCCAACTCTTAACCCAACCTCACAGTAACAAACCTCCATGTGGGTTTCATTGATTCAATGTCTCGTACATGGCACAGAATACAACCTATCGCAGTTTATTAAAATCACACCTACCCCAGCCCTAGGCCCAACCACACGGTAACCTGCTGTGTTTTATTCAATTTTACTCCTACCCCAACCCTAAACACAACCTCAGAGTAAGCAGTTTATATATTTTTTTATTTTTATGAATGTCTACTATAGCTACATCAATCGCAAACCCAGCCTACGTGCGGTATAAGTGCCTACCACTTAGAGGTCATCCAGCCGACTTGCAGTGTAATCTCCTCCACTTGTAGGTCTCTGAGCTGCAGCAACACCTAAGGGCTCTGACACACAGACACAAAAGAAACCATTGCTTTTAACCTACTCTTGGAGAGGAGAGAGTCTCCGACCCTGGATCTCAGGTCTTCTATGGAGGGACTGTCAGGAATCCTGTAAGAGCATCCCATCCACACAACCTCTTGCCATAAAAACAAAGCAGAATGTGTGGTGAAGGAACTCCGGGTTGACAGAGCCTTGTCCTTGCTTCAAGCAAAGTGCTAACAAGGTGCTGAACAGAGTGACGGTGGCACAAAGGTTAGCGCTTATGACTACGGATCAGAAGGTTCTCGGTTTACGGAAACCAAGAAACTGTGTATGAGAGATTGCGTAAGTGTATGAGTGGCACTTGTGCAAGCGGAGCAGGGACGTGCCAGCGATCAGAATGAACTGGAGTTTATGCCAAGACTGGGTTTCAAGAGTGGCAGGTCCCATATGGTCTAGCGGTTAGGATTCCTGGTTTTCACCCAGGCGGCCCGGGTTCGACTCCCGGTATGGGAAGGCTTCAGTGCTTTTGCTTCTGTCCTTTTTGGCCAGCGGTCGGTCTGCAGCTACCTTATAGCATGTGGTTGTGGAACTGCCCCGTAAGCCTTCGATAGCTCAGTTGGTAGAGCGGAGGACTGTAGGTGGGATGATGGCAATCCTTAGGTCGCTGGTTCGACTCCGGCTCGAAGGACATCTTTTGCGCTCAGAGCCGCTTTCTTGCCTTCGCCAAGTGAGTTAACCACTCCTCAAAGTTCAGCATGGAGGTGAAAAGGAAGTTCCCTGACCGGGAATCGAACCCGGGCCGCGGCGGTGAGAGCGCCGAATCCTAACCACTAGACCACCAGGGAAGGTGTGCGTAAAGGTTGGCCTCATGTCTAGCTGTGGGCCTCCACCCAGGTGTGCTGCAGCTGCTCTGACAAAAATAACTAACGTTTGCAACCTCCTCCCGGAGAAGAGAAAGTCTCAGAGCCTGGGTCACAGTTCTTCTTGGGAGGGACTGTCACATGCTCGGTGTAAGAGCATCCTATCGACACCACAACTTGCCATGACAACAAAGCAAAGCATGCTTTTAAGGAACTCCATGTTCACCGAGCCGTGTCCTCTTTCCAAGGACCATGCTAATGAGCACTGCTGATGCGGACTGGGCCAGTGGCGCAATGGATAACGCGTCTGACTACGGATCAGAAGATTCTAGGTTCGACTCCTGGCTGGCTCGTTCAGGATTATTTTGCGTTGCTCTCAGTGCAGTGCGGTCGCGGTTTTCCCCTGCCGGAGTTGTTCGGTTCTACTCTGGAGTGAATCGAGTTTCTGGGGCCGCCAGCACAGAGCCTGTGGGGTGCTCTCCTGGGTTCAAAGGCTGCCCCAACTGCTCTCATGTCTTGGTCCTGTACATCCCTCAGGACTTCCAGAAGAAACCAGTACAGCCACTCTCCTGGGAAGACAGCAGTGACAGCTTGTAGACCAAAATGTTTGCTGTGAGGCTAAGGCGTTCTACTGCAGCACAGATACGCATTCGAAAAGCAGACAATATTCAAAAACAAAGTGCCAGCCTAAAACAAGATTGCAGTCAAAATGACCACCTCAGACAAGTGTGAGCAATGTTTCAGTCTCTGCTATATGTCTGCAAATATGCCACACAGTGCAGACGCTCATACTACTGAAAAGGAAGTTACCTGACTGAGAAAGGTATAAATAGAAATCGGAGCCTGCTCCAAACTACCTGGTCAGCTCCAAGTGGGCTGTACAAACCTCCTGGAGTTTTCATCCATTGGCTGTGGAGAGAATCATAAGGATCATAGAAGAGATGGGCGAGGATTTTATCAGCAATGTCTGTGAAGAATTCAAAGTAAAAATGTGAGTTTTTTTAATTATTATTTTATGGGTAATTATAAAGTATTAAATAATAACAAAAATGAAAATCATTGCCCAATATTACTGTTTCTTTCTTTCCTTTTTACTTGTGTAAAATTGTAAATACATTTTAGAATTGTCTACACATTCAACACCTATTCTTGCAAGAAATGTATTAACTGTTTGATTACAAATAATTAATAGCATGGCCTTTTATGTTGTACAGGTTGAGTCCAGCTGAAATTGTTTTTCTGACGGAGTACTGCACTGTAATGAAACCTGTGGTAAAGGCTTTGAATATCCTTCAGGCAAAGAACAACACACACATGGGGTGGCTCCTGCCCGTGATCTTCCAGTTACAAATAAATCTCTGCAGAATGGAGACATCTTCCAAGATGTGTCTGCCCCTTATCAGAGCAGTTCAGGATGGCATCCAAAAGCGCTTTGGTGGGATGATCCAAGACCCTGAATTGATTGCTGCAGCAATACTTCTGCCAAAGTTCAAGAACACCTGGACTGAGAAGACTGATGTCATAGAAGCAGGTATGATTCTTTTTTTTAATATAGTGTAACCAGATGTTAATTGTTAATCTATTTTATTTACTTTATTATTTAACAGTGTTGTAGGAGAGTTAAGTGAATTCTGTGTTTAGAAAAACAGAGAGAAGCAGAGCAGAGATGAAGTTTGAACAGTTGTCTGTTGTTTAAGTAACATTAGTTTTATCGTTTAAATGTTTCGTGCTCGCCTCCCTTGCCATAGTAATAATCAAAATAATTGCAGCTTTTGTGATTTGAAAATCGCACCTTTTCAAATTGCGATTTTGCTTTAAAATAGATTAATCGTGCATGCCTAATGTGTTTGCACTATGTTTATGTGTGTGTGTCTTGTCACTTAACAGGACTGGTGTATATAAGAAAACACCTTGACCAAATGGCAGAGGTAGCAGTGGAGCAAGACGGACAACATTCATCCGATGAAGAGGATTTCTTCTCCTCAATGAAGTTCAGAAGGTCACAAGGTACAGGGGAGTTAGATGAGTACCTTTCCTGTGTCTCAGACAAAATGGATCTCTTGAAGTCATTTCCACACATCAAGAAACTTTCTCTCAAACTCAATATTTCCCTTCCTGCCTCAGCTGCCTGTGAGCGTCTCTTCAGCTATGCTGGACTTTTATTCACCGCAAAGCGAGCACGGATGAACTCTTCTAATTTCGAAAACCAGTTGTTGCTAAAACTAAACAGAAAGTTCATAGAATAAAGATGGGCACCCAGTTGTTAAATTGTTAGGCAGAATGACCTGTCAAAGGTTTGAAATAATAATTTTTTTTTATTCTATTCTTTTTTTTTTATTTGTAAAGTTGTTCCTTCAAATAAAAAGTACTTATTGGAGATTAATGTCCCCTTGTTTTTTGAACTACACTAAAAACCCTTATCTACCCCCCCACAGGTGTTAAAACAAATAGTTACTCATTACTTTTTATTCATGAGTACATTTTTAATGAATTAATTTTTTACTTTTACTTGAGTAGATTTTTTTAGACCTGTAACTTTACTTTTACTTAAGTAAAATTTTATTGAAGTAACAGTACTTTTACTTGAGTAGAATATTTTATCACTCTTTCCACCTCTGATCACCTGCAACTGCAACACTCATGACATCTTCATACTCTCCTGAGCAGCGTTCATCACCTGCATCTGCAACATTCACAACATCTTCATACTGTCCTGAGCAATGTCATCACCTGCAACAGCAACACTCACGTCATCTTCTTCCTTACCTGACCAAGTGCCACTCGCATCATCTTCCTCCTGTCCTGATGAACCCTTATTTTCTCCTGTGCCTTGTGCTTCATTGACTCCTGTGAGTTAAACACAAACATCTGAGACGCACTTATTAGGAGAGGTTAGTACTTGAAATTAGTTTGTACATAGATATTAGTATTAATGTTTTTGTTTTAAACCTCCTTAAAGCTGTGTTAATTGAAATAAAGGTAGTATTTATTCAGTCAGATGGTAGCCTGTAGATCTGTTTCTGTTGTACAATGGGCAGTCACAGGCCTATTATAAAAACAGTATGCTGAGTTGTTTGATGTAGTTGGATTGTATCAGTTAGACTGTATCGTGATTCTTTTTATACAACATTACTTTTACTATGTTAATTGATTATTTGTTGTTGCTCTCTTCCAGATGCACTCATTAGGACCGTCGAGGAAAAGACAGGTAACTGTTATTAAAAAGTGGTATTATTAAAAATCTGTAAGATTTTGGCATCTGTGTATTGTATTACATATGTTCTAAAATATTTAATTAAAGACTGCACTTTTAATTTTTCTAATTCAGTATTCTGGAAGTGCCTTCAATGGTTCAGACCTTACAGATAACAGCGATGATGACTACATAACCCAAATAAGCTCAGATGAGTCAAATGGTAGTGTCTCTGCAAACAAGTCTGAAAACAGTTCAGAAGCAAATGATGAATATGGTAAACAAATGGCACCAAAAAAGATGAAATGCCAAACTAAACAGAGATGCATCTTCTGACAAAAGTACTTTTGTTCAATCAATGCCACTACCAAGACCAAAATGCTAATCATATAGCCAAAAACAGTACTGCCTTTTTGCCATTTATAAGCCATTTTCAAAAATGCAAGACACCTGGAGTTTGTTCACCGCAATGAGGTGGAGGTTGCAAAGGCTATTGCATTTCCCAAAAAATCCAAGCAATAGCAAGTACAGTTAAACATACTTTGAAACAAGGGGAAACTTTGCACACAACACCAATGTGGCAAGACAAGGGCATGGGCAAATGATTGCGTGTTACCGACCAAAAAATAACAAAAAAATAAAAGACTTCATTCTTTGTGTTCATTGCCAGGGGCTGTATGGCAAACTCAGCCTTTGGAAACGCATGAAAAGTTGTCCCCTGAAACCTGCTACGGATAAACCTCAAGGTAGAAAAAGAGTTCGATCTCTTTGCACTTTTAAAACACCCGTTGGCTTGAAGTAAGCAAAGGTTTAAAGAGAGTGCTTTCCCTGATGAACTACGATGATGTTTCTGAGACCGTTCAAAGTGACTCATGCATCATGCAACTGGGAGAAAACATGTACAACAGAATGGGATCGGATGTGACCAAGCATGATTACATAAGACAAAAAATTAGAGAAATTGGCACACTTCTTCAAGCAAGAACGATTACCCCACTGAGAACAATGGCAGACTTTATACACGTCATATCAGCTGTTACAGTTGTTTCTGGCTTTGATGAAGAGACAACCTCCTACCGCATTCCTTCATTAGCTCTCAAACTTTGCCATTTTTTGAACAAGATCTGTAGCATTGTTGAGAGCAATGCAATGATATGTGGTGACCATGAGCGTGCAGCGTGTGCACGAGACTTCAGAAAAGTACACCAGGCAAGGTGGAATGAGTATATTTCAGCTACTGCTTTAACAATGCTAAAAGAAGCCAAGTGGAATGCACCACAGACCATCCCTTTTACTCAGGATGTCAAAGTGCTTCATGAACATCTACAAAAAAACTTGATGAGTTTCTTAATAAACACAAAAACTTTCCTTCTGCAAAAAGCTATGCTTCTCTAGCTAAAGTCATATTGTCCCAAGTCATCCTGTTCAACAGACGAAGAGAAGGTGAGGTGTTAAGAATGCTTTTGTCAGCTTTTCAAGGCCGGGATTCTTCTGAGCTACACGAAGACATAGCCATGTGTCTTTCAGAGTTTGAGAAGAAACTCTAATCATTTTACCAGAGTGAAGCTTCGTGGTAAACGAGGGAGAATGTGCTCCTTAAACGAGGTTCCTGTGCTCCTTAAACCTTCATTGGTGTCTGCCATGGAGCTGCTTGTTGAAACACGTAAGGTTTGTGGTGTCCCTTTTCAGAATTCCTTCATGTTTGCTAGATCTGGAGCAATGTCTGGTTACAGAGGAGGAGAGTGCATAAGAAGAGCTGCTCATGAATGTGGCATCAAGAATCCTGAGGCTCTGTCTTCAACCAGGCTTAGGAAACACATAGCAACCATGTCAAAGATTCTTAACCTTGATGAGAATGAGGCGGACCAGCTGGCTGATTTCCTTGGTTACGATATCAGAATCCACAGACATTATTACCGGTTACCAGAAGCGACACTGCAGCTCGCAAAAATGAGCAATGGAGAAAGGAACACTTTCCAAATATAAAGGAAAGAAACTTGATGAGATCCAAATGGTACAGTTATAATAAGATTGTCAGTCTAAGCTAAAATAAGCTTAATTTCAGTCCATATTTTTCTATAATAATCTTTCACATGTGAAATGCTCTTTCTTATTGTTGTATAGCGACTTGAAGAACTAGAAGATTCTATATCAAGTGATGAGGTGGAATCAGATGCGAGATGCAGCGACATTCCTGAGACGACATGTTGGAATATTTATCTCTATTCCATGCGTGTTCAATAAGAAAAGGTCTGGAGAGGGTTTTCTTCAATGCCAAAAATATTAGTAATTTATTAGATACAAATGAATAATTCGATGACAGAGCTCTGGGTCACATTACCCCAATGCAATACAAGAATTACATTCAAGAGGTTCGCAACTAACATACATTTCCTGACTTCAGCATATATACACCACCAATCTTAACAGGTGGAGTTTTGGTGTAACGTCACTTGTCAGTCATTGTTCAGTCCTCTATTGGCCGCCCCTTCGACATACTTCCTCTTTTTCTACGAATTCTCTGCCTAACAACAAAGTATACTTCTTTCTGTGTTCTGTGTTCAGTTTTAACACCTCTATTCAGACAGGAAGTTTCTGCAGAGCTGAATTTAATTTTGGACCCGCATCTATCTACTTCTGCAAAAATGCTAATTAGTATGCACAGCACTCACCCACAACATTAGAAGTTCAGTTAATATATGACCCTTACATGACCAATACAAACAATTGTTTGATTAAAAGAAAGAGACAAAAATAATAAAAAACTGATTTCTATTTTACAACACAACCTACCCCAACTCTTAACCCAACCTCACAGTAACAAACCTCCATGTGGGTTTCATTGATTCAATGTCTTGTACATGGCACAGAATACAACCTATTGCAGTTTATTAAAATCACACCTACCCCAGCCCTAGGCCCAACCTCACAGTAACCCACTATGTTTTATTCAATTTTACACCTACCCCAACCCTAAACACAACCTCAGAGTAACCAGTTTTATTTTTTTTTATTTTTATGAATGTCTACTACAGCTACATCAATCGCAAACCCAGCCTACGTGTGGCATAACTGCCGACCCCTTAGAGGTCATCCAGCCAACTTGCAGTGTAATCTCCTCCACTTGTAGGTCTCTGAGCTGCAGCAACACCTAAGTGCTCTGACACAAAAGACTTTTAACCTCCTCTTGGAGAGGAGAGAGTCTCCGACCCTGAATCTCAGGGCTTCTATGGAGGGACTGTCAGGAATCCTGTAAGAGCATCCCATCCACACAACCTCTTGCCATAAAAAAACAAAGCAGAATGTGTGGTGAAGGAACTCCGGGTTGACAGAGCCTTGTCCTTGCTTCAAGCAATGTGCTAACAAGGTGCTGAACAGAGTGGCACAAAGGATAGCGCTTATGACTATGGATCAGAAGATTCTCGGTTACGGAAACCAAGAAACTGTGTATGAGGGAATGCATAAGTGTATGAGTGGCACTTGTTCAAGCAGAGCAGGGATGTGCCAGCGATCAGAAAGAACTGGAGTTTGTGCCAAGACTGGGTTTCAAAAGTGGCAATTTCTATATGGTCTAGCAGTCAGGGTTCCTGATTTTTACCCAGGTGACCTGGGTTCGACTCCCGGTATGGGAAGGCTTAAGTACTTTTGCTCCTGTCCTTTTTGGTCAGCGGTCGGACTGCAGCTACCTTATAGGGTGTGGTTGTGGAACTGCTACGTAAGATTTTGATGGCTGAGTTGGTAGAGTGGAGTACTGTAGGACCTATTCTTAGGTCGCAGGTTCGACTCCAGCTCAAAGGACGTCTTTTGTGCTCAGAGCCGCTTTCTTGCCTTTGCGAAGATATCATTGGCACCACTGCTCGAAGTTAACCATGGAGGTGAAAAGGAAGTTCCCTGACCAGGAATCGAACTCGGGCCGCGGCGGTGAGAGCACCGAATCCTAATTACTAGACCACCAGGCTAGACCATCAAGCCTAGCTGTGGGCTTCCACCCAGGTGTGCTGCAGCTGCTCTGACAAAAATAACTCTAACATTTGAAACCTCCTCCTGGAGAAGAGAAAGTCTCAGAGCCTGGATCACAGTTCTTCTTG